CCACTGTGCTGCCCAATTTCAAATGAATGGGCTCTCGTGCCCGAGCAAAACGCGGCCCGCACGGCCACATAGGTGTGAACCCCGGGGGTAACAGGGGTGCTTTCAGTGTAAAGTTAAAAATAAATGTTGTATTTGAACTGAAAAAGCTGCAGCATTACAACATGGCTGCCTTATGGCACGCAGATGACAGGTGCTCTTTCTTAGCTGGCAGAGCCAATCTGCTGACACATTCTGGCCAGGGTCCCATTTTCTACCCACATACAACCTTTGGCTTGCATTTTGTTTTTCTGAGCGTTACCAGCATGGCAGGAGGCCTGAGGCGACAAGTCAGAGCATTTACAGGCAAAAAGACGTCTGCTATTAATAGCTCGGCATTGTTTCATCAGCCTACACGTTTAATTAATTCGGGTAAATCTCCAACCATTCCATAATGGCAGATTCATGTGGGCGTGACACTTTGCGGTTAGATCACTTGCCTGAAAAGTAATTAGATTGTTTGCTGGAGGGGTGACCTAGAATGCACCGCTCGCCCAGATCAAGGTGATGTTAGAGGAAACTTGTCATGGGACACATACCTGGGCTGCCATCAGTGAGCTTCTTCTGCAGACCATCATTGCCTGGCTTCGGCACTGACCCAGATCGAGGATTGGAAGTTTGGACTTTGTCCTGACTCTGCATGTTGAGTGTTTGTTCTAGGTTGGTGACTCCGAAGGAGTCACCCCACCACCCAGACAACTAGCAACTTCAATATGGGGTCACCTATAGCAAGCCTCTGTATTTTTTTGTTTCTCAACCCTTTGGCTAAGACCAAGTGTAGTATTTGATATTATCAGTGTCCGGTAGAGGTGTTCCTCCATCATTCTGGCCTTTTGGATAGCTGGCTGTATAGTATCCCTACTGGTATGATGGGGTTCCTGAGGGCCTTCCTAGTAGGAAAGAAACCAAATTAGGTGGGGATTTGGAGTGTGTTCCTGGTGTAGAGGATTCTGAGGGGACCACTGCCTCCTCATTGAAGCTGTGCTACGTTCTCTGGCTAGGGGCTAGGAAGGTGTCCCTTCTCCTGGAAGTGGAACCCCCAGGTTGCCAAAGTCACACTATGGGTTTAGGGCCTCACTGTGAGAAGCAGAACTTTGGTCACGGCACCAATCCTTTTTCTACACTTTACATCCTGGGCTAGGTCTTTTGGCTGAGATAGGGGCAATTCTTGTTACAAGGCCTAGCCATTATCTTGCACTTTGGCACCATTCTTTATTTTTTCTCACTGTTTATCACTGCACTTATTTTGGTGTCATTTCTTCACTGAAGGAGTGTAGGGCTACGCTGAAGTCTCGGTGGAGGACGTGTGGCCCTCTGCTTCCTTTCTCCTCTGCTTTGGGGGGGAACTCTCTCTTCATCTAGTACATGTTTGTTGGTTTTGGCTAACCATAAGGAGCAGGGCTCACCAGGGCTTTTGCAAGGTGGACCTAAGTTTGCCTTGCCCCCTTCAGAACTACTGCAAATTAATAAAAAAAAAAAAACATTATCTTCCCATGGTTGACAGACTGCAAATGCAACTTTCTCAGTGTATAGGGGTCAGGTAAGGAGTCTGAAGTCTTTATTAGTCCTCCATTCTTGATGAAGAAGGGACTTCCTGCTCCAAAACCAGGGCCTCTAGTCCTTGCATGTGTAGGATGCAATGAGATTTTGTTTTTATTCAGTTGCACAACATACAATTTGTGGCATTGGATTCCAAGTGTGCAGATTGTGGTGTGGGATTCCCCGAGTGTGCAGATTGTGGTGTGGATTCCCAGATTGTGCAGATTGTGGCATGGAATTCCCCGAGGGTCCCATATGGTGGCATGGGATTTCCCAAGCATGTAGATTGTGGCATGGGTTCCTTGAGTTTGCAAATGAGATTCCTGGACCATGCAGATTGTGGTGAGATATACCTGGACCATGCAGATTGTGGTGAGATATACCTGGACCATGCAGATTGTGGTGTGATATTCCTGGACCATGCAGATTGTGGCATGAGATTCCTGGTCCATGCAGATTGTGGTGTGATGTTCCTGGACCATGCAGATTGTGGTGTGAGATTCCTGGACCATGCAGATTGTGGTGTGAGATTCCTGGACCATGCAGATTGTGGTGTGATATTTCCTAGACCATGCAGATTGTGGTGAGATATATACCTGGACCATGCAGATTGTGGTGTGATATTCCTGGACCATGCAGATTGTGGTGTGATATTCCTGGACCATGCAGATTGTGGTGTGATATTCCTGGACAATGCAGATTGTGGCGTGAGATTCCTGAACCATGCAGATTGTGGCGTGAGATTCCTGGATCATGCAGATTGTGGTGCGAGATTCCTGGACTATGCAAATTGTTACTTGAAATTTCTGGACCATGCAGATTATGGCGAGAGATTCCTGGATCATGCAGATTGTGACTTGATATTCCTGGACCATGCAGATTGTGACTTGATATTCCTGGACCATGCAGATTGTTGCTTGAGATTTCTGGACCATGCAGATTATGGCGAGAGATTCCTGGATCCTGCAGATTGTGGCGAGATATACCTGGACCATGCAGATTGTGATTTGATATTCCTGGACCATGCAGATTGTGACGTGAGATTCCTGGACCACACAGATTGTGACGTGAGATTCCTGGATCATGCAGATTGTGGTGTGGGATTCCCTGAGTTTGCAGATTGTGATGTGGGATTCCCTGATTGTGTAGATCAGGGGTCTCCAAACTTTCCAAACAAAGGGCCAGTTTACAGACTTACGGGGAGCTGGACCATGGCCACTTGGAGCAGAAAAGGTCCAGACGTCATTGGAAATAACCAATGCCCCATCTTTGGTGTCATTGGGAGGCATTGTGCACCATCTTTGGTGTCATTGGGAGGAATTGTGCACCATCTTTGGTGTCATTGGGAGGAATTGTGCCCCATCATTGGTGTCATTGGGAGGAATTGTGCCCCTTCATTGGTGTCAGTTTCTTGCTTGCCCCAAGCAAGCAAAAGGCTACATCTACCCCCAAGCTGCAGTTTGGAGCCAATAAGATCATTTCAATTTCTTTCTGTGTCTCCGCTAAAGAACTGTTACTCATATCTACTTGTTTGTCTTCTGACCTTGAGTTCTATGCTGTGTTCGGGAGGAGGAAATTAGCCAATTACAGGACCAATCCTGCTTCTCTGCAAATATTGTTGCCATGGTTGAAAATAAAAGGAATGATGTTGTCTGTAGATTGAAAGGGAACAGTGACATGGCATACCTGGGAGGGAATTTAGTTCAACCCTTACGATGAATTTAAAGCTAAACTCCAGGAAAAGCACATATTGTCTTAATCCGTTCCTCCTGTGGATTCTTCTTGAATCTCGGTGAGCTTTGTGTGATTCTTCCAGATCTGTGCAGTCATCCAGTGTGAGACTTCCTGTAATAAAGACCGCTCACTGCTACTCTCTCTCCTTGTGCAGGGGGACTGGTCTTGTCTCCGCCCCCTCCTGTAGTTTTCTGCAGGCAGCCTGTAGTGGGTGGACCTTCAGGGCCCCTCCCACAGTTCTGCTTTCTGCGTAGTCTATGTACAGTAGAGTAATGAGGTCACTGCTACTTTTACAAGGTAACATCCAGGCTTGCAAAGGCATTTCTTCCAGATCTGTGCAGTCATCCAGTGTCAGACTTCCTGTAATAAAGACCGCTCACTGCTACTCTCTCTCCTTGTGCAGAGTGACTGGTCTTGTCTCCGCCCCCTCCTGTAGTTTTCTGCAGGCAGCCTGTAGTAGGTGGACCTTCAGGGCCCCTCCCACAGTTCTGCTTTCTGCGTAGTCTATGTACAGTAGAGTAATGATGTCACTGCTACTTTTACAAGGTAACATCCAGGTTTGCAAAGGCATTTGGTGCATGCAACATAGATTTATGTCCTTTATGGCTATCGAGGAATACATTTAAATGAAAGCTTTTGTTCCCGGAGTTCAGCTTTAACCACTTCCGCATCGCCCTAAAGCAGAAATATTGCTACAGGGTGGCATGGGTGTGCACAATCTCGTATATATAAGCGATTCTGCAGTTCCTGGTAGGGGGCGCATGTGCCATACCCGCGCCGCCATTCGCAGCCTTGTCAATCACCGGGTCCCAGACGGTGATTCCCCGACGGGGGAGAGACCTGCATGTAAACAATACAGTAAACAATACTCTCCCCTGTCAGCTCCTGCACACTGCTTTGTATGGCTCTGCATAGCAGAGCCATACAAAGCAGCATGCTTACAGTGAAACACACACACAGCCCACATAGTAAAACAGCACACAGGTAACCCTTTAATGGCCCCACGTGCTAGCCCCTTCCTGCCCAATGCCATTGGTACAGCATCGGTGCTTTTTATTAGCACTGATCACTGTATTGGTGTCACTGAGGATTTCAGTGCGCCAAGTCAGTCCCCCCCCCCCCCCCCAGTGTCAGGATGCCCGCCGCAATCCCACTATAAGTCGCTGATCGCTGCCATTACAAGTAAAATAAAACAAAATCCAGTATATATACCGCCATTTGTAAACGCTATAACCAGGGGCGGACTGACCATTTGGAAACTCAGGCACTGCCTGAGGGCCCGGGGTCAGTAGGGGGCCCCATGAGATGCCCCTGGTACCTTTTTAATAGGCTTTTTTGAGTTTAGGCAAGGACACAGGGGCCCCATGATTCCCAAATTGCCCGGTGGCCCCATGAGTTGTCAGTCCGCCCCTGGCTATAACTTTCACGTAAACCAACTAATTTACACGTATTAGGATTTTTTTTAGCAAAGACACGGAGCAGAATACATTTTGACCGAAATTTATGATGAATTTTGACTTTTTAATTTTTTATTTACCGGACATGTTTAACCTCCCTGGCGGTATTCCCGAGTGTAGCTCGGGGTAAAATGTCTGCACCAAAAGCGGTAACACCGAGCTACACTCGGGCTTACCATGCGGCGCTGCATAGGGAGTCCCTGCAGCACTTACCTTGTCCTTCGCTCCCGCGATGTGTCCCCTGCAGCGTCCCCGGCCATCTCCTCCGGCCGATGCCGGCATCCGGCTCCTGTGTTCCGGTCCCTGTGACGTCGGGACGTACGGGCGCTGCTGCCGGCGGCGGGAAATTTGAAGATTTAAAAAAAATGTCATTTTTTTCAAAACAATTTTACACAGTAAAACATTCCTGTATCAAACCATTTCACATACATTTTGTCCCGAGTGCTTTGTCCGGCGCCCTGCCTGCATTTTGAATGTTCTTTCTGCCTGGAAACTGAGAAACGTCCATGGTGTCCAAAAAGCGTCCCTTTAGGTCAAAAGCGGTTTTAGACCGGCTAGAGAACAGCGATAGTAAATCAGAACCACTTGCAGAATTGAGTGATAATGATTTGTGGGGGAAATTCCTCATCAGACACTGAAACGATTCTGCGACTTTGCTCAGTGATGTGCGAACTTGGCGCTCTATTTCACATTTCAGTGTTTTTGGTTTGATTATATTATTGAATTAAATGTATTATTATTATTATATTATTATTTTTTATGATTATTTATTAAATTATAATTTATGATTTTGTGTTTCAAGTTTTATCATCCCCGGGATGTTTACTAGACTCTTGTTCGGACAGATTTCAGTGAGTTATTCCTAAATATTACAGCCTACAATAAAAAACTACATATTTCCATGGAAAAAAATGGTACCGCTTTCAGCACCAAAAATCGGAAATAATCATACCGCCGAGGAGGTTAATAGCAAAAAGTAAAAAAATTATTTTTTTTTCATATTTGTCGGGCTGTTTTGTTTATAGCGCAAAAAATAAAAACTGCAAAAGCGATCAAATACCACCAAAAGGAAGCTCTATTTGTAGGGAAAAAAAGACATAAATTTTATTTGGGTGCAGCGTTGCATGATTGCACAATTGTCAGTTAAAATAATGCAGCGCCGTATCGCAAAAAATGGCCTGGTCAGGAAGGGGGGGGGGGGGGGGAATCCTCCGGAGGGCAAGGAGTTAATAACTTCATTTTCAGTTTGGATTAGAGTCTACCTTTAATAATCCTTGGAGCCAGCCAACAATGTTTTTTATCGCAGTGTAAAGATCGCATTAAAACAACTGTCAGAGGAGATAAGACAGCAGACAAACCCAACATATCAGCCTTGTAATTGGAGCGTGAGTGGCAGGAGAGCGTTGTGCCTGCAGCGCTCTGATCTGTCCTGGCCTGTCCCGTCTCGCTCGCTATTTTTACAGGTCTGAAAAGTGCTGACTTGGATGTTTTGTGAAACAAGCAGACTCCATTTATGGGTAATAAAAGCACAGCTCTGTCACTTTATTTGGAGGATTCCTGGCAGGGCTGTAGCAAATGTGTCATGGGGCCCCACCGCAGAACCATTAGGGGGCCCTCCTGTCTCTCTAATCTTATCTAGAAGGCAATTGTTATGGTAATACAGAATTTTAGTTGTTTTCATAGCAATCCAATAGAGGTTTCCAAGTTGTATATACACTTGATTTATCCCAATGTATTGCTACATGATGTTGCTACCTGCATAGATTACTATGTAGCATCTGGGCCCCATAGCGGTTGCATGGTCTGCTTTGGCTGAGGTCCTTGATTTCTGGTAGACCCTAACCACAGCAAATTAATTTTCTTGCTTCCCTTGCTGCCAACTTGTAGGCATGTGCAATCTACTTTTTCATCTACAGGTGGCACTCAACCACAGAGGCATTGCATGGGGAGAGAAAGTCAAGAGGAACATGGTTTCTCTATGGTTTCCTGGGTCACTGAGGAAACTATCTAACTGGATACTGCCACCCCATGTGGATCCAGCAGCCATTTTTGGTCAGCTCGAGTCTATTTAAAGTGATATTAAAGTTTTTTTTGTGGAAAATAACAAACATGTTATACTTACCTACTGTGGTTTTGCACAGAGCAGACTAGATCCTCCTCTTCTTGGGTCCCTTACCTGGCTCCTCCTTGATGTAGCATGTCTGTGGAAATTTGGGCCCATTCAAGGAAAAGAACATTTGTGAGCTCAGGTACTGATGTTGGACCAGAAGACCTGGATCACAATCAGTATTCCAATTCATCCCAAGGCTGTTCAGTATGGTTGAGATCAGAGCTCTGTGCAGGCCACTCAAGTTCTTCCACACCAACCGGATCTTTATGGAGATGTTGAATGAGAAGACTTGGCTCATTTCAATTCATCCCAAATGTATTCAGTAGGGTTGAGGTCAGGGCTCTGTGCAGGCCACTCAAGTTCTTCCACGCCAAACCGTATCTTTATGGAGATGTTGAATGAGAAGACTTGGCTCATTTCAATTCATCCCAAATGTATTCAGTAAGGTTGAGGTCAGGGCTCTGTCAAGGCCACTCGAGTTTCTCCACACCAAACTGTATCTTTATGGAGATGTTGGATGAGAAGACTTGGCTCATTTTAAGTCATGCCAAAAGGTGTTCACTAGGGTAAGGTCAGGGCTCTGTGCAGGCCACTCAAGTTCTTCCACACCAAACCGTATCTTTATGGAGATGTTGGATGAAAAGACCTGGCTCATTCTAAATCATGCCAAAAGGAGTTCAATAGAGTTGAGGTCAGGCTCTGTGCAGGGGCGGACTGACAACTCATGGGGCCCCTGGGCAATAGGGGATCATGGGGCCCCTGTGTCCTCACCCACACCCAAAAAAGCCTATGAAAAAGCCAATGAAAGGTACCAGGGGCATCTCATGGGGACTCCTACTGACCCTGGGCCCTTGGGCAGTGCCCGAGTGCTCGAATGGTCAGACCACCCCTGGCTCTGTGCATGCCACTCAAGTTCTTCCACACCAAACCGTATCTTTATGGAGATGTTGGATGAGAAGACCTGGCTCATTCCAAATCATGCCAAAAGGTGTTCAGTAGGGTTGAGGTCAGGGCTCTGTGCAGGCCACTCAAGTTCTTCCACACCAAACCGTATCTTTATGGAGATGTTGGATGAGAAGACCTGGCTCATTCCAAATCATGCCAAAAGGTGTTCAGTAGGGTTGAGGTCAGGGCTCTGTGCAGGCCACTCAAGTTCTTCCACACCAAACCGTATCTTTATGGAGATGTTGGATGAGAAGACCTGGCTTATTTCAAATCATTCCAAAAGGTGTTCAGTAGGGTTGAGGTCAGGGTTCTGTGCAGGTCACTCAAGTTCTTCCACACCAAACCGTATCTTTATGGAGATGTTGGATGAAAAGACCTGGCTCATTCTAAATCATGCCAAAAGGAGTTCAATAGGGTTGAGGTCAGGCTCTGTGCAGGGGCGGACTGACAACTCATGGGGCCCCTGGGCAATAGGGGATCATGGGGCCCCTGTGTCCTCACCCACACCCAAAAAAGCCTATGAAAAAGCCAATGAAAGGTACCAGGGGCATCTCATGGGGACTCCTACTGACCCTGGGCCCTTGGGCAGTGCCCGAGTGCTCGAATGGTCAGACCACCCCTGGCTCTGTGCATGCCACTCAAGTTCTTCCACACCAAACCGTATCTTTATGGAGATGTTGGATGAGAAGACCTGGCTCATTCCAAATCATGCCAAAAGGTGTTCAGTAGGGTTGAGGTCAGGGCTCTGTGCAGGCCACTCAAGTTCTTCCACACCAAACCGTATCTTTATGGAGATGTTGGATGAGAAGACCTGGCTTATTTCAAATCATTCCAAAAGGTGTTCAGTAGGGTTGAGGTCAGGGTTCTGTGCAGGTCACTCAAGTTCTTCCACACCAAACCGTATCTTTATGGAGATGTTAGATGAGAAGACCTGGCTCATTCCAAATCATGCCAAAAGGAGTTCATTAGGGTTGAGGTTAGGCTCTGTGCAGGGGCGGACTGACAACTCATGGGGCCCCTGGGCAATAGGGGATCATGGGGCCCCTGTGTCCTCACCCACACCCAAAAAAGCCTATGAAAAAGCCAATGAAAGGCACCAGGGGCATCTCATGGGGACTCCTACTGACCCTGGGCCCTTGGGCAGTGCCCGAGTGCTCGAATGGTCAGACCGCCCCTGGCTCTGTGCATGCCACTCAAGTTCTTCCACACCAAACCGTATCTTTATGGAGATGTTGGATGAGAAGACCTGGCTCATTCCAAATCATGCCAAAAGGTGTTCAGTAGGGTTGAGGTCAGGGCTCTGTGCAGGTCACTCAAGTTCTTCTACACCAAACCATATCTTTATGGAGATGTTAGATGAGAAGACCTGGCTCATTCCAAATCATGCCAAAAGGTGTTCAGTAGGGTTGAGGTCAGGGCTCTGTGCAGGCCACTCAAGTTCTTCCACACCAAACCGTATCTTTATGGAGATGTTGGATGAGAAGACCTGGCTCATTCCAAATCATGCCAAAAGGTGTTCAGTAGGGTTGAGGTCAGGGTTTCTGTGCAGGTCACTCAAGTTCTTCCACACCAAACCATATCTTTATGGAGATGTTAGATGAGAAGACCTGGCTCATTCCAAATCATGCCAAAAGGTGTTCAGTAGGGTTGAGGTCAGTGCTCTGTGCAGGCCACTCAAGTTCTTCCACACCAAACCGTATCTTTACGGAGATGTTGGATGAGAAGACCTGGCTCATTCCAAATCAAGCAAAAGGTGTTCAGTAGGGTTGAGGTCAGTGCTCTGTACAGAACACTCAAGTTCTCCCACACCAAACTCATCAAACCATGTCTTTATGGAGCCAGCTTTGTACACAGGGGCACTATCATGCAAGAACAGAAGAAATCCTTCCCCAGACTGTTACTGCAAGGTTGGAAGTTCACAAATGTCTAAAATGTTTCTGTATTCTGTAATAATAACAGTAGCCTTCTCTGGAAACACCTGAACTTATTCAACAGGGTGGCCACATACTTTTGGTCATACGGCGTAGGTGCGATGATCAAGTTCCAATTTACTTTTGGTCATATAGTGTATATGTTAAGTGAATAGATCTGTATTAATTGGCGGTCTTTTATCTACCTAGAGTGCGGTTTTAATTTAACAATATTTAGGTTGAATTATAAGTGAAATGACCCTTAAAAATTGGCACCCGTTGCAGTAATTTTTTCCTTGGCGATGAATGCCACTTGCATGGGTTAACAGCTCATTTCACAGATGAGACAGCGCTGATGGAAAAGTCCTTAAATTACCCGTGGTTTTCATACAGTATTAAATATTTGTAGTATTGCAAAGAGCCCGAAGTAATCATTACCCTGCAGGTGTTTGATCACTATCTTCCTCTGCACACAAGCCGGTCCTGTACTCACAAGATTCGATATCACCACTACAGCGAAAATGTGTCCCTCTCTGCTCCTACAAGAAAACCTCCCATTCTACACCGCGGGGAAAAGACATGACTTCACACTGTCTCCAGGTAGCCACTGTCTTTTTGGCAACACCAACCAC